AACATGCATGTGGATTGACAGAAAGCCTACTTAGGAAAATAGCTCTTGTCTCTGACTTTTTTTTTAAGTTTACTGGCATTCAAGAAACTTATTCCTGGCCTCTCTGGTTTCGTGAGTACTCTTTATCTTATAAACGTTTCTTCCCTTCATCCAAATAAATTTACTCAGCTATGAGTATTTGATGTCATTGTGTGGGAAACCCAAAAATCACTAAATCCTATGTATGTGTATGCCTGGTGTAACATGTTCCTCTGTGTTGCTCCGGGTGCTTTGGACTAGCCCAGGCTCCCTCTGTGGGCATCTTCTGGTACAGGTCAGGGGTTCTTGGAGATTGCTCTCTCTTCCTGCTGGTGCTGTGCTCACTTCTTACACCTCAGGGTAGGGTCTAGAGCAGGTGATAAATACTCACATAGTGTTTCACTTTTTCAAAACAGAATGTACATACTAAACAGATATATTAGAAAAATTGTCTATTTTCTTAATTCTAAACTCTTTGTCTTGGCAAATTTATAGAAATCCATGTATTTCTGAAACTAGATTGATGTCTTCACAGGCGTTTCCGATGATCTTGTAGAATTTGCTTTTGTCATTCTCTCTATATCTCCAGCACTGCCCGAGAACGAATTTCCCACACAATTTTGGTGGTTCTTCACTTCCTATGTATTGGTCTTAGATTGTATTGGAATGGGTTTTCTAAAGTTAGCCTCTAGAAAATACTAAGAAATTTTACTGGGGAAATGGAAGTTTGAAAAGTATGGTAAATTTAATTGCATTTTAAATTTAAATTGAACATTCTCACTCTGGTGACATAAAGGCTGGCAATGAGGTATGTCCAGTGAAACAGGTGGTCGGTATATCTGGCACCTCAGTCACAACATCCTACAGTTGTTGGATAGAAAGAACAGAGCGACTGTGTAGCTAGGGGACAATTCATTGTTGTTACCCGCTGGGACTTAGGAGTGCTCATTCCTATGGCGTAACATAACCTATAGTGACTGACAGCAAGATTATTCCACCCACAGTGAAGAAACAAAAAAACCAAACTATAACTAGCAAGGTCTAATCACAAACGAAGAGTCAGTGTGGAAATTGCTTCCCTAAGATCTTGAAGCTGCCACGAGATCTCAAAATAAGATGCACCGAGACTGTTGAACACTTTGCATATTCAACTCCAATGCAGAGTCTGGAGGATGCGCGAATGTTGCTCTTCACACATTGGTGTGTGGATGCATCCGACTGTGGTATGGGAAGCAGGCTTTTATTCAGTGTTCTTCACAGTCATCTTGAGGAACGTACGGCTGCCAACACAGATCTAACTTTAGTGAATATCGGTCATTAGATTTTAACAGGAAGGACAAGAAGTCAGAAGGTGACCACTGACCTTTGTAGAGTGCACATAATAAGGATTCAAGCAAATGGAGTGGGTCAAGACCTTCCAATATGACTAGGGAAAGGCATTTTCTAAAGACAGTGGATTTGAATCTACAGTCAGGAAGTAATGGGGAAAAATTTAGGCAATGAAAATATCCTTGACTGGACACTAGCATGCTTATGCAGAGGCATGGTAGAAGTTGAAGCAGGTTAGTTGTGGGAACGTGAAGAAACCTGCATTCCCATGTATTTTAATCCATTTGGCAACAGAAGAGAATTTTGAGTATAGGATTATGCTTCTGAAACATGGGGATGGGACTGAGGGTCTGGCCTTCATGGGAATCCTCAATTGGCACGGCGTGGAAACACTCCCCAGTTACATGGCGTGGACTGTACATCTATACCGACTTCTTTTGTAGGAGTTTCAGTCCCCTGATGGCATTTGAAAAATGGAACAAAATTCAGGGTAGAACGTCACCTTGTGTCAACCTCTGAAATAATTGCCAACCCCCTCTGAATAGGTTAGTCGGTGACTATGTTATGAACTCAAGCAAGGTTGAGAAATTATAGGAAATCAGGTGTGGTGGAATATCCTTGTAATCCTAGTTTCTGGGGTGGCTGAGAAAGTGAGAATCACAAGTTCAAAGCTAGCGTTAGCAACCTACAGAGACACTGACTCCATGTAGAAAAACATCTTTGGAGCCAGGGCCGGAAGTAAAACTCAGCACGGGGTACTTCCCAGAAGTCCTGAGCTCCTGCAGCCATCCCACAGCAGTCACGAGGGAAAAATATATAAACATATAATTACACACAAAAAAGGTAAGTGTCTCCAAGTCCGCATTCAAATCCATTCGAGGTTTTAAAACATATTACTGAGGAAATACTCACCTACCATCCAAGTGAGGATTTGTGCAGACAGCTCGAAAATGAAGACGTGAAGCAGAAAGCTGAGCTGAGAAGACAAGTATGAGACAGAAGGATTAACCATAGAGAGCAAGGCAACACATTAGACATATCCAGCTAACGAAATTACCGTTGGGAATGTAGCTCAGTGGTAGACCTCGTCCCTAGAAAATGATTATGGGGGTTGTTAAAAGTGAAGAAGCACCATCAGGGCCATGCTCGCAACGGGAGGTAGGAGCTGAAGAAAGTGTTGATGGGGACAATGTAAACTGGGCCCCTTTTACAAAGTAAGCTAGTAGCTGTCAGAAGAAGCCCCGTGCACTAGCCCGGCAGCCTACGGAATCAGGCTAACACAAGAGCGCTGCATGAAGTCGTCCTTGAGAAGATTATTGATAGCTTCTTCAGAAGTGGAAATCACCTAACTCCGCCCCAGTCGGGAATGGCTATTTATGAACCAGTTTTCATGTATATGTATTTGGTGGGAAACTGGGAAGAATCCGAATTGTGTTTGCACATATTGTGCCTCATTGATGACAGTGTTGATGTTCTGTTGACAACTTGATATGTGCATTTGATCAGGCCTCTCAAAGCAAACTGCACAGATAGATACCCTAGAAACAGCGGAGGAAGTTCCATGCAGCTAGTCTTTAAATGCTGAGTTTAGTAAATGGTTTGTTTACTTTTTGTGTAATTCAGTCTGGAAGTGTGGGTAGCAGTAAAAGAGGCAGTCATGGGCTAAAACAAGACTTCTTCACATAAAATAATAGCCGTATGAGTGAGTGATCCTGCTGCAGAAGACATGCATGCAACGACAAACAGACAGGAGCCCAGGGCCAAGTGTGGAAAAGACAGGTACAGGTTGTGGGAACATAGAAACCTGCCAGTCTTGAAGTGAAAATATAGGAAAGTCACGGTCACCTGAAACTTAGGTTGTAAGCTACAGCCTTTAAAACTGAGGTTTTCAACAGGAAAAGTTTCTTAATATGCAGTGAACGAGATTAACTCAAGATCAACGGTTTAATGAATCTGTGGTGGGTTTGTTGTTGTTGTCGTTGGGGGGGGGTTGTTTTGTTTTGTTTGCTTTTCTCAGTGCTTGGATGGGCTGCATTCCACCTCTTCATTGCGGCCTTGGTTCTGCACACACACATGACTTCACACTGTGTGTGCTGTCAGTACCACACAGTGCCAACTGAATGCTGCCTAGAACACTCGGGCTCACACGCAGGACCGTGCATGTTAGGAACTGCAGTGTTTGAGTTGCACATGCTAAGTTTTCCAGTGTTTTAGAAACAATGGTGTAATTATGCAAAACAAAATATTTTCATCTTGTAGCGTTATTCCTCAGATGTAAGTGTCAGACTAATATATCTTTGGGTTGTATTCTGCTTGAATGTTTGGATTTTAAAATTCATGCTTGAGTTTCATAAAAGTCATTGAGTTTCGGGTGGAATTCTTAACTGTCGGATATGGCCTTAAACATGCTCCTGATATTTTGTACATATTTATGGAAGTGCCATTCAGAACGTGGAGGATAAGACATTGCTGAACTCTGAAAGCATTCAAGATGCCCTTTGCCTTGCAGCATCAATAGTCAGCCAGAATTCTGTTTTTTATGTAACAATTAATTAGTAGGTGCATTCATCTCACTGGTGGGTGAGCATGCTTTTTCTTCAATAAACAACAAAATTACTCACATCAAAGATTTCTTTTCAACTGGACTTCTTAGTGATTCCTGAGAAGTAAACATTGACTATGCACTTGTATATGCAAAAGCCTGAGATCATTTCTCAGTTAAGAGAGGTGGTGTGGCAAAGTCTAAGATGCTCTGGTCAGGCTCTCTCGGGTGGAGACGCCTGTCCATCAACAGACTGGGGGAGGGATCAAGAAGTAGGTGGTTCGAATGTGCCTTTGGCCTTCTCCTTTGCCAGCCTCCTTCCAACCCAGGAGACTTGGAGTCCGGACAGCTGGAGCAGTCAGAGCTGGTGATTTGGTGTTGAAGGAGGGAGCAATAGGTTACACTTGCCTATTCTGAGATAAACAATGCAGAAAAGGGCGGGCCAATGCCATGTTAATGTGTCTCCCAAGGCTCTGCTTTTGCACCGCTGGTGACTGTGGTGATTGGAGCCCAGGATGCAAATCCCAGGGTGATTAGTGGAGTTTGCATTCTAGAAGGTGCTCCTCTAAGGCTCTCCTTCGTGCTATTGCTGGTCCAGCAGGCACCATAGTGTGCAGCACAGTTCTCTCCGAGACTCCATTTGCTTCTCCTACCTTCCAGCTCTATGTGTGATTGAACTAGCCTTGATCCTGTAGTCCGGAGCCCGTGGCTCCAATCCTCTGAATGGGCAGACGGCAGGACTTGACACAGCTGTTTGGCCTGGTAAAGTTTTGTACCAAAGTTTCTTTCACTTCAAAGGATAAAAAGTAAAGAGTCATCAGTGAAAACCCAAGCAGCCTATCCATTGTTAATCTGTAATCCAATCTTAAAACCTCCCCAGGAATGGCTCTCAGCTGAGCCTTTGCCTTAGAGCCACGTCCTCGCTGTTCCTTATCTTCAAACTGATAGACACTCCTTCTCTCCTCCTTTATAAATATCACTGCAAACTGCGCGCTAGTGGGCGGCTTCCCAGTTCCTGGAGTGTTCGGGTGCATGCCGTTGACCTCTGGAAGCAGGATCGGGAGCGGACCGCCTACTGTGGCTCCTCACTGTGCCCTTGTGTTTGCTGTAGGTGCCTACCCTCGACTTTCGTTGAGTTTTCGGTTGAAGAGAAACATTGGTTACTTCATTCTTCAGACGTATATGCCCTCCATCCTGATCACCATCCTCTCGTGGGTGTCCTTCTGGATCAATTACGATGCATCCGCTGCTCGAGTTGCCCTTGGTATGTGCTGCTGTTAAGTCCTCTCTAAAGGGTGAAGTGACCACCTCGTTACGGTGGTAAGGAAAGGGAAAAGCCAGAGTGCAACCACAGTCTGTGCGTATCCTGGCACCAGCTCCCCCCACCAAGCCACATTTTGTCTGCAAACAGTAATTTCACGCTTGAGTCCCTTGATGTGTTAATTTAATTATAAGGCTTAAATGTGAATTTCCATGCCTATGAAAGGGAAAATATGTTGTCAGAATATTTGCATCGTAGAACTGTTTTTGACACTTGATTTTAAAGTAAGGAGTAGTATTTCCTGGTCAAGAGGATGCCACCGACAGAAAAATTTGATTTATTTGAGCTTTCTTCTCTTTCAACTCATGGGGAAAATCGTCAGATATTATAGCACATAATTGAAATTACACAATGTAATGAGCATTAAAATAAGCAACTAATTATGAGTAATTTCCCAAGAATCCTAGTGAAGTTTGCTGCCCATTGGTTATTTAATAATAAGATTGTTAACTGATATGCAACATACAGGTTCTGACATTGTTTTTTCAGGATTTGCTTATTAAAGGAAAGTTTATATTTTCAGGAACACTATTCTCTGCTCAGCTGATTATTATGAAACTTTATGAACAAAGTTATTGCATAAACACATCAGTAGTAGAGGTGATGAACCATGCCCAGACCAGCCTTTCTCTGGGTTCCAACAGTTTCTGAGGAGGAAACTCACAATGCAGCTCTCGCAGGGAAATCTGCAGGGAAGAACTAGCAACACATTTGCTGGTAAAGCCGTCAACCCGGAGGTGCAGTCCAGGCCTCCAGGCCTCCCTCTCTCCTTCTGCTGTTTTCCAGCCTCAGCCTTCTTATTTTCTAACACAGCGTGCATGTGTGCATGCCTGCGCTAGATCTGCAACCGTGTAACTAGCACACGTGTCTCCTGGGCTAGACATCTTCTGAAGTTACCTGCAGCTGTCCTGTGTAGAAAAGTACACGCTGGAAAGAATCGGGTACCCAAGGGCTAAGAAATCCGTACTAAATTGTTAAGTATTTCTTAAAGAGACTTTTTAAATCTTACATTTCTGTGCAGAGGTTGTCTGCAGATTTTACTTCTTTGTATTTTTAATATCGTTAGATGCCTCTTTTCTAGACCAGTTGATTTTTTTTTCTTTGCATCTGCTAAATGAAGAGACTGGATTTGTAGGGACAGATCCAGGTGCTGCTGTTGTTAGTTTATACAGTTTGAAGTTCTCTCTTTATGAGAAAAAATGTAAACAGATGAAAAATCTTTGGGAATCCCCCACCCCCAAGCCTGGGAAAAGCTCATCTACCCTGAAATGTCATGAGCTTCATAGTGACTCTGCTGCTGGACAGTTGTTAACAGCAACGAGAAAGAGCCACAGAGATACAATCATCTGGTGTGGCAAGGATGAAGCATCCAGCAGACGTGACCCTCTGCGCGCTGCCTGCTCCCACAGACTATGTACCTGCTTGCTTGTAAAAATATCACCACAATGAGAAACAAGTCGTCTGTCAGAAGTGGACGGCAGCAATCCAGTTTCATCATGGTGAAGGAACTCGCTTCCACATTTTCTGGGTGTCTTGCTGATCCAAGCTCAAATCATGTCTTAGGGACTCTGCTAGCATGGTGTGCTATGCAGGCTTTGCCTCTGGAGGGCTATGGAGTCAAGCAAGCATTAGAGTCTTAAGCGGCAGGTACCAGGGCTATACCAGAAAGGGTGTTTACAGACACCTAGTGAGCCTCATTCCCAGAGGACCACAGATGGCTGCGATCCTAGAGTCAGTGGGGGCTTTCCAAGAAAGAACCGAACAGGTCATTGGCCACCCTCAGAGGGGATTCTGTATTTTTTTTTGGGGGGGGGGGGCTGCTAGCTTTCAAAAGACAGTTACTGTGACACTCGCCCTACCATTTGATTTCTTGAGTGGTTGCCATCTTCTCCACTCGTTCACACAACCAATGTGCTGCCATTCACCATGGGAGGCCACCAAGGGGACACCCTTCTACCATTGCTGAGCAGACAGCTGCTGGCGATCGCCTCCTGGGCGTGGGAAAACAGGAGTGGCGAACGTGGCAAATTTTTGGAAGAACGGTGAGAAAGTCTAATTTTGTAGCTCTTGCGTGGCATTTTTCAGATTTATCCATAAACTGTAATTATCCCATTGCCACATTCAAATTTTAAAAGTCCCCAGGTGCACATGAATGCAATGTTCAAGGAAGTCTTAAAATATTCTGACATCTGAGATTTCCAAACATCTCACAAGCAACCGTGGTTTGCAATTATGCGTAAAAATAGTCTCTCGTTTCTCCATTGTTCTGTTCTGTTAGCAGTCTCCTAGGGTCAGAGGAGGGTGCCGAAGAAGGCCTTACCTTATTTCTCTGCTGCTTTCCCCTTATGGGAGGCTGCGTTCTATAGCCCCAGGCCGGCTCTGGGAACCACAAGGTGATCAGGCATGCCTCTGAGCGCCATGGGCACCCAGAGGGCTGCAAGCTGAGAGAGTAAACATCCATCCTCCCTACAGTCCTGGTTCTACCGCAGACACCACGCCAGTGCTACCTCATGGCTTCAGCCACACAAGAGTATTGTGTGTGTGTGTTTGAGTGTGCACGTGTGTGTGTATGTGTGTGTGTGTGTGTGTGAGAGAGAGAGAGAGAGAGAGAGAGAGAGAGAGAGAGAGAGACAAAAACATTACTGTCAGTCTCTTTCCTCTGAGCGCCTTCTTAGGAGAGTAATCATTACATGAGAAGGGAGGGCAAGTGTTCAGCCCACACGCAGGAATGTGGCTTGCTCTAGTGGAAGCTGGGCCTCCAAGCATCTTCCTTTTGTAAAATAACAGGTTCCAAGGCAGGTTCCAAGCTTGTTCTTGCTGTGGCATATTCAGAGGTTAGTGACGCACTCACACACAGCTTCCCTGTGCTCCACGAGACCTAGTCATGTCTCTACTCAGCATGTCCTCTGGTCACTGTGGCCTCCACTCTCTTCATTTGTATTCTCTGTCCAGAAGGAGCTATGTCTCCTGCTCTGGGAGGATACACAATGTGATGCTTATTTGGCCTTAAGGACTGCAGCCGGCTCCCGCATACAGACAGGAATCCTTAACACTGAGCTTTGTAAATAGCTGAGAGACTCCAGACAGGAGCAGAATTCTCCCTCGTCCCTCTGAGCTAACCTTCCCACCCAGCCTGTGGGTACTCTTTTCCACTTCAGAGAAAGGGATCCAGAGTGAACCTGTTCTGTGCATTTGGCTCTATTGGCCCTTCGTCTTTGAACTTAGAATTGGGTCTTCCCCTAATCAAAAATGACCTCTCAGCTTCTGCTTTCCAGAAAGGCCTGGAATAGGAGAGGTAGTCACTCTTAGCTTTCCTGGTGACCAGGTCTCTGTGGCCACAAGCCACTGTTAGTCTCCCAGTGTATTGTAGCCAGGCACTCAGTTCTTACGCTACATTCTGGGACTGCCTACATTTGTTCTAAACCTCGAGGGAGAACATTCTTTAGAAATGACCCAGACATCGTGCCTCCTGCTCTCGCCAGACACCCTTCACTGTGTTTGAGGAGTGGCTGGGTGAGGCCACTGCAGGCTTGCTTCCCAAGTGGAAATGTCTGCTTGCTGCTCCAAGGTGTGATGTGGTTGCCACAAGACACATGGCTTGTTCCGGTGACATTCCATCCAAATTCTTAGAAGGCATTGCAGCAGAAGGGAGGCTGGGATCTGGGATGACATACTCATACTGTGTTTGTTTCCTAGGGATCACCACTGTGCTCACCATGACAACCATCAACACTCACCTTCGGGAGACTCTGCCCAAAATCCCCTACGTCAAAGCCATCGACATGTACCTGATGGGCTGTTTCGTCTTTGTATTCCTGGCCCTTCTGGAGTACGCCTTCGTCAACTACATTTTCTTTGGAAGAGGTCCCCAAAGGCAGAAGAAGCTCGCAGAGAAGACTGCCAAGGCCAAGAATGACCGTTCCAAGAGTGAAAGCAACCGGGTAGGCTCTCTACAGCTTGGGCATTCCAGCCCCGCAGTTTCTAACCTTCCAGCTCATCCCCTCGGAGCTGGGCAGGGAGCCCTACCCAGCATACTGTGAAAGGCTCCTAGGGCAAGCCTTCAGGGTTCCTATCAAACTAACATTGGAGCAGGCGCCGAGGAGGCTAGCTTCCCTTCCACCTTCCTTAAAAAGAACAGAATCAGAAATGACCAGTACTCTAGAATGCAGGGCTCTTGTCTGACGTGGAAAATACCATTTTTTTTTCAAAAGAGCTCAATATTCCTCCAATTATAAGATTACCAGTTCACTCATGCAGCTTGCCCCCATGGTAAGCAGTGTAGCAGGCAGTCACCTCTCTGGTCCATCCTTCCTGCTGGTCACAGTCCCACAGGAGAACATTAAACATGAATGCCCCAGGCAGCGAAGGCTCAGGAGGTTAGCAGAGCTGCTGGCTGTGGTCTCTGCACAGCACAGATTCCCACCCAGCGGAGAATCAGAGCCCAGCACAGGAGTGCTCACCTGCCGGTCCCAAAGGGACTAGGCATTGAATATATTTACTCATAAAAGCGTTATGTTAGTATAATGAGATTACAATGAAATGTTACAGTTTCTTAAAATGTACCCTTTTATGTCTTCATCTCCTCAAATCCTCAGTAATACATTTCTACTGTTATGCCCAAATCTGCAAAGTTCCCGCAAAATCCAACAAGGAGACCAAGTCCTGTATGTAAAAGCAAAGAGCCTTTATTTTATGCAAGTTTGCAAACTCAATCAATCTGCACATACAACATATTGGAATAAATGGAGAGCCCCGAGCTCAGAGTTGGATTTTTATGGTGGTAAAGGTGGGGTTGAGGGCTTTCTGAGGTTCAGGACCCCTGATTGGCTGACATTTGTCTAGGGGTGTCCAGGTGAGTGTGTGCTGGCAGGTAATCCTATCTACAGCAGTTGGCACCGTAGGCATTTCCTTTGGATGGTCTGTTCTTGGGTGGTGCTCAGGTAATCTCAGTTTGTGGTTCTTCCTGCAACCAGGTATTGCTTCAGGGTAAACTCCTGAGACTCAGGCCTCTTGTTAAACTTATCAGTGGCTGAGTCCTACTCTGGCAGGTGATAATGTTTGGAAATAAAGAACTTCCTTTAGGTGACCTGCCCATACTTAGCTTATCATGGCTGGCCCCCACACCTACCAGGTTAAATATGGACTTTCTCCTTCGTTCCTTTCTTTTTGCTGTGCTGTTTAATTCAGGTTTTAAAATCTACGTGTTTTTCAAGCCCTTGGAGGTTTCCTTCCCTTCTTCTGTGCCCCTGTGCCGGCATGGATTCCCTAATGCTGCCTGACATGAGATGGCAAAGGTGTAGGACCGGATGGAGTCCTGCAAGCGTGTGGAAATGGCCCCTTTCTGTCTGTAAAACAGATGAAATTGGTCTCTGAATAGAACTAGGTTTTCCACAGACAAAATTATCTTCAATATCTTCCTTGAGAATCTACTCTGTTCCAGACTGTTAGGTTTCTATGGAGATCATGCTGTACTATGAATACACAAGATGTCTTGGCCTTGGTGTTTCCAAGGAAACGGGAATTAATCATGCCATGTTATCTCCGTGGCCGAGCGCATGGACAACTGCACACATGATCAGTGTTCTTTCCACTTCCTTCTGTGTTTGACAATCGCCACTTTCTTTCCTTTTCGCTAAACGGGACTGTTTAAAGCCTTCAAAGCATCATTGTTCAGAAACCTTCTTGGGAGTATGAAGTACACAATTTAAAGGAAACACTCAAGCCAGTAGCATTTGTGGGTAAAATGATCAGAATGTGTAAAGAATATGAATTAGAAGCAGAGGAAATTCTAATTGACTTAGGAATCCATTTTCAGTTTTTTTTCCCCCATAAATGTTTTTTTTTCCTGAGCTGTTTCAGTGAGGCCTCTATATATTCATAGTTTTCTGAATACACAGCTCTCATTCCGTTCTTAGCTTTGGAAGCCAGCACATAAACACCAGGGATTCTCATTTTGGACATCTATTTGATGCTTTCACAGTTCCGCATTAAACATATTCCTCCCTCTCTTAAGAGTTTGCTGATATTTCTAAGTAGGCATAGGACACCCCCCCTCCCCCCAGTTTGCAGGATGCAGAGTATGAGAAACACAAGAGCCATAGACTTCATTCCAGACAGAAAAGGCTGGGCCTGAGGGGTCCATCCAAACAGTCTCTTTTAAGTTTTCAGTGACGACGCTTGACTCTGCTTATCAGTGTGACCAGCCACAGCCAGTCATTTTCCCTAACAGGGACCCTGCTTCTTACTGTCTTTCCTAAGCAAAGGGCCTTCCCCATGGCTCTGTCATGGGCCGAGTGCCCTGGAGACATTTCAGGCCACCAGCTGCCAACAACTGCTGGCAAACTCTTACTGACCCGGCTGCCAAACCGTAAGCAAGCTTCCCGTAGACTTAGTGGTCACACAATATCGTAACTTCACACATAATACATACATGTTCCAAATGTTTCTTTCTTCTTCTGGTTTCTCCGTTTGGTACAGTGTAAGCCTCTTCACTTTAATTTGCCTACGCATTCTGCCTGTTTGTTCCAGGCCTGCTACTACACCCGAGAGCAAGCCTTTGGTCACAACGCACACATTGCATTTGTACATCCTGTGGTATCTGAGGATTGACCCATTGGCACAGTCTTTTAAAGTCATGACACAATACAGCCACAAGTGGGGGGGGTACCAGAAATTGAACCTATGCCCCATTTGCCAGGCAAAGCAATAATTCATGTCAAGAATCAGATTCACAGACTCAATATTATTCTTAGTGAGCAGGAAGAGCTGGTGCCACCCTCAAATGGCAAATCTTGTCTTGTTCTTCTAAAACCAGAAATTTTCACTTGACTGCAATCTGGATGGCAAGTGAAGAATTGACTGAGTGCCAACCTAGTGACATAGCCCAGGAATGAGAAACTCTTATGTGATATTTTTTGGATGAGATGTTTCCAATGTTTTTAATTTTGGAGAGCTGCACCTGTCCAGGTTCACAGCAGAAAAAAAAACCTACCTTGAAATTATTGGATGTAATTATAGTCAGTGTGAGCTGGACCCTTCAAAATAACAAGAATTCATGCAGCAATTTAAAAATTACAAACCACCTGTCTTTCTGAAAACACGTCAGCCTTAGAGCCCCATAGCCACTCATTTCTCTTTTGAGACTTACATTCTAGAGGTCACCTTCTCTTTTAGGAACGTTGACTTTAAAAATGAGATGTCTAAAGGTTAAGAAATTGTAATACTCTTTAAACATATCAGACAAAAATGTCGGCAATTTTCTGCATGTTGGTTTACATTTAAATTAAACCCATGTAACAATAACTCCGTAAGTAAAGCAGCCAAGCTGTTTTCAGCTGAGATATAATTTAATATATGATTGCATTCTTTTGCATACTATAATTAGTATTATTTTTGATAATGCTGCCATTGTAGGGTTTCAACCTCTCTGGAATAGAGTTGTGAAAAATTAAGACTGTTTCTTGAGTCCCATCTCAGGAGACTCCTCAGGCAGCTACAGGCTTGTCTTCAACATTCAGAGGGCCCAAGAGAACTTCACCAACTGGTCAAGTTTTATCCTTTAATTTGCAAACAACTAACAGGTTCCTAAGGAAGCGTGGCCTCTCTCAGGCTAGGCTTTCTTCACTGAAGTTCAGAGAAACAGCCCCCCACCTTCATCCAATCACTTCCCAAACACATGACGGTGGCCACAGGGATCTAGAGAAGACAGGACACTGACTCACAGATGTGTCCCTAGATAGCAAGACATCAACCTTCTTTCTCATATCTTTTGTCCCCTGTGTGGATTCTGACCTGTCACAAATGCCACCTCTGCTTTGCCTCAGCTCTTGATTGACGTCTTCTCTTTCTTCAACCCACAAGTCAAATGTCCCTCCCCATAGAATCATCCTTATTTTCCCCTTTCAGTGAAAAATGCTTCCGTCATTCCATGCCCCAAACACTGTTGTTTGCTCACTATCCGGCACATTCTCTGTCCGTGTGCAATGGCAGATCGCTTAAATGATTTCCTCTAACAGTTTCTTGCTTCTGCTAGAATGCACATACCTGATTCCACTCTGGCAGATGCTCATGTCAGGTGGCATTTATCTACTCCTACTGGCCTGGGAGGATCACCCCCACCACATACCTGTTCACTTGGATTCCTTCGATTAGGATAAAAAAAATAAATAAATAAAAAGGAACTTTTCTGTATCGTGTTTTGATAACTAGAAATGAGTTCCAAATTCTTTCATGAAATGTATTTGTTGATTGTTGGAAGTTCCCACCTAAGAGGCTGCTTGGGAGGAGGCATCCCTGTTTTCCTCTTCATGGTCCATAGCCTGGCCTGCACAACCCGGATGGGAAGCAAGTGTGTAATTATATTTTCGTGAATGACCCCAAATAATGCAGGCCCCTGGTGTACTTCTCTAGTGAGGCACAAAGGTGGCTCACGACCCTTTATCTCTGTTTTCTTCTCTAAAAATAGCCAGGGAAGAGGAATATGTTTTCATCGCTACTAACATTTTCAGTGTACTTTCTACCTTGGAGGAAAATTGCTAAGCTTTCTGAAATGCTCAGTAATGTAGCAAGTGATTTGTTACTGTGGAGAAGAGTAAGTTTTCTGAGTACTTTAAAAAGTCAGTGCCTCCCCTTTGGGATATCCTGTGCCTCAACTTCGGGGACAAAGTAGTTTACTATGTATGTGCATCTCTTAAAATGTTGAACATAGAAAAAGAAGTAAACCAATTTCATGTGGATCTCACTTAATATAAGTACATGGTGAGTGTACTGTCTTCATGATTTAAAGCCAGGTACTGGGTAGAACGATGGCCATCTTCACTGGAGTCAAATAAAGTGATGGAATAAACTAAATGACAGCTCTTACCTGGCCGAGTCCCTTCTCAGTCCCCCTCTAAGTCAAGACGCCTTGTGAGCCCCCCTCCTTTCCTGACCCACACAAATCCTTTATGCCGTAGAACACTCTGCGCTACACCAGAGAGAGGCAGCACTAGTGAGCCAGGACCCAACCTGCACGCTTGCTTTTGACTATCCTGTGTGCTGAGACCTGTTCAGCCACAGGTCCTGCCCCAGGAGAGGGAGTTCAAGCTGCCCCTTTTAGGTAGAGCGAGTGGGTGTGGCCAAGGTTCTCTCACAGCTGAGCCTTGCCCCTGCCATGCTGCCAGTGGGCGTGAGGGGCAGAGCCCTTCACTGTCCTCTTCATTTCAGCCACTCCATAATTCCTCTGTGACTTCAGCTGCCTCATCCTGCTGGAACCACCATCAGCTCAGTCTGGAAAATCCCACAACAGTCTCTCTGGCTTTGAAGGCAGCAAACAGTCTTTGTCCGTGAGAAGGTTTTATTATCTATCATTCCAAGAGAAGATTAGGGAACAAAAAAATGAGGGACAATGCAAAGCCCGAACAGAACCAACTTTCTCAGTTCGGTGAGATCAACACACGAGAATCATTAACTCTGCGTGCATCTGAGTCTTCAAGTCTGGATGGAGTCAGAGACAGGAACTCTCTCTCTCCTCCTCCTCCTCCGTTCAGACGTCCAAGAAGAAAGGCCAGTGTCATGGCCCACACCTGTAATTTGAACATGTAGGAGACTAAGGTCAAAGGATTGCCATAAGATTAAGGCTATCCTGTGCTCCAGAGTGAGTTCTTGGTTAGCCTAGGCTAGACTGAGACCCTGCTTTGAAAAAACAGACAAAATACCAACACAAATCAGAACTGCCAAGATACAGAACCAAGCTGCTGGTTCTGCTGCAGGCACCCGAGCCACTCAGAGACCAAAAAGAGACTCCGGGCTCTGTCCAGGAGCAGAAAGAGAGCATCCGTCTACACTGCTAGCATTTTTTTCCAGACTGCTATTGGTCATGGACTCCCTTGTCACATCTCAAATTCAGCTTCTATTCCTGACCCTGCAAGCATGGACTTCAGAATCCTCCGTTTTCGTCATGGGCATTTAGAGACTACTTTTCACATTGCATTTTTCAAGCAAAGGGTTGGAGTTTCTTAGCAAGACCTACCAAAACCCTTACAGGCCCAGTCTCTTATTTACCTCCCATTTATCACCAAGTATCCTCTATTGTTATGATTAATTAGACAGTGGAAAGATGATAATGGCAGAGCAAAAGCACCAAGAACACCACCCACCGATAGGCATACTGCGCGTGGCTTCATCATCTTGAGAACCTGAGTTAATTCAGCTGGTTTACCTTACACAGAACTCTTTACTTTGGGTCTTTGCTTGTGATGTATTTCATACTTTGGCCTAAAAATGGTCTCTCTCCTTTTGTTTTTTTTTTCTCCTGTGTTATTTCGCATATTAGGCAAATGCGCATATGAGGTTTCCCCTCATCCTATAGCACTATTGAGAGTTGCTATGGCAGATTCCCATAAATTTAACCAGGGTAAAGCAGAACTCGTTTCTATCAGGCACCTTTTAGGTAAAAAGTACTAAGAGAGTAGGACTAAGGTGGGGGTAGCCCCCCTCGAGGCTAAAACCAAAGTGACCGAGTTAAGAGTGCACAGTCCTCCCACCAAACGTAAAGTGAGTCCTCCTTAGGCTGCGCATTCATCTCCTGCCTTCTGCTTCTAGCAGGAAACGTTCTCTACTATGCTTAGGAAAGAATACGTGAGGATATCGGGTGCAACCAGCAATTCAAGATGAACTGTCTTGAGGGTTGTACCCCTGAGCTCATCTCCAGAGTCCCCTCGGAACACGCTCACAAGCTCTGGCAAATGAGAATTGATCTAGCGAGGGCATGGCTAATACTGTTAATACGGAGAGGTATTCTCAAACAGGATTGTGAGCAACTCCATGCCAAGAGCCTGAGTGGCCTTTCCAGCTGCAGCCCTTCGTTCACGAGCCTTGGCCGCCTTGCCGTTGATAGCTGTGACTCTATGCTCTTTCCCCCACTCAGTGCTTCACGTGGCTGCCCATCTCTACCTGGGTAGGAGTCAGGACCACTCTCTGCCCACCTTTCCGCCTCATTCAGCTTAACACTTCTAATGAGAGTAAAGGATGCCTTCTATAAAACCAGGAAGACAAAAATTAACACATCAGTAAGATTCTGCAGGACCACTAGTGGCTCAAGGGAAAATCCACCACCCATGAATCCAGCCCTAAAACAAAGGGTAGGCTAGCCAGTGACAAGGGAAGAAAAGGGAACACAGCTGTATCACACAGTCCTCCAGGGAAAAGGAAGGTCGGGGATGGGAGAACATACAGGAACCGAGTGCTCAGGGAAGCAGACCAGGCCAGTTACAGTCTGATCCCAGGAGGAATTCCACCAGGGAACCCCACCCTGCCCCCAGCCACTAGTTCCCCAAGCCATAGAAAGGCTGCTGAAAATTCTTTAGCAGCCTAAAAAAGCAAGTGTTCTCCTGGTACTGTCACCAAAGGTCTAAAGCTGTATTAGCAAGGATGAAACTTGATTATTTCAAAGTCAGCCTTTACTGTGGAAAGAGATTTGCTACTTTAAATGTGGCCCTGGCAAAAGAAGACGTCTGCCAAGGCCACAAAGAGGCAGGGACCTACACCTGTATCTACCCCAGCAGTCACCAGAAGCACCATCGGGACCGTCCCTGGGCTTCTCCATGGTAATCTGGCAATTTAAATCTTCAGCGACTGGGCTAGCATGCTAGCAAGTGCTGGGGGAAAGTCAGCATCCTTAGCAGATGCTGGACCTGGTTCCAAGGACAGCCTTCCAAAGAGAGCAAGCTAACATCCTAAGAATGACCCTGTGTCTACTGGAAGCCACAGCGGGTACCAAATGTCACATGTACTCGGCCATCTCTAAAAGGAGCTTAAGTTACCAGTAGGGCAGTAAGAGGTTAACCACAGAGCATAGGAATAAAAGGGAGTAATCCTACCAAGGCACGCCTAGGAAAGCTATGTGCGTGAGGGCTCTGTTGTCGCCTCTCCTGTGCCATGCTCACCTCCATCCGGGGCTGTGAGGTCTCATGAGCCAACCACTGGGAAGAGAGGTTGAGTGGCACCGGTATTGTGGCATTGCCATTAGATCGGATGGTACCTGCTGAAGAGCAGCCGAGGAAGGAAGGGCTCCACCATTTCCACCCTGCCCAATTACAAAGGATTACTAGCACAGACGTAAAATCCTAGTAGGGGTTGGTGCTTTGGTTTTCTCCTCAGTAGGGATTCTGATGTATAACATGAAATATCAGTTTGCTAAAGCGCCATTTCTCTTCTTTGGTGGCCTCTGTATGAACCTTCAAGTAAAGGAAATGCCATCTGTCAGCTGCAGTTAAAGTTCCAAAATGGTATTTTCCTATAAAATGCGGCAAAGGGTTGACAGATGGACACCTTCTCATAAATGACATTGGATGATTCTGTAACCTCACTCTGTCCTGGGCTTGTATATAAAAGTAAACGAATGGGCATGCCAGCTCCTAAGGGTGTCTCTTTTCTCCACTTAGGTGGATGCTCATGGGAACATCCTATTAACATCGCTGGAGGTTCACAACGAAATGAATGAGGTCGCAGGCGGCGTCGGAGACACCAGGAATTCAGCAATATCCTTTGACAACTCAGGAATCCAGTATAGGAAACAGAGCATGCCCAGGGAAGGGCACGGGCGGTACATGGGAGACAGAAGCATCCCGCACAAGAAGACCCACCTACGGAGGAGGTCTTCACAGCTCAAGATCAAAATCCCCGATCTCACCGATGTGAATGCCATAGACAGATGGTCCCGGATCGTGTTTCCCTTCACCTTTTCCCTTTTCAACTTAGTTTACTGGCTGTACTATGTTAACTGAGTGACTGTACTTGATTTTTCAAAGACTCCATTTAACACTGAGTGAAATATTACCCTGCCTGTCAAGTTTTTATACCAGTACACACACACCTACACACACCCACACACACACAATTGTATATATATGTGAACTTTCTCAGCATATATATAAAAGACACGTGTATATGAGGATGTATGTGTATATGTTTATATACGCAGGTGTGACTATCTGCGTATGTAAGACAAATACGCACACATGCCGTACATTTTGCAACTATGGACAATTTAACACAGGATGCATATTAAAGAAAGTCATAGCTTTTTTTTTCTTTTTCTAATTGAAAGGGACAAGTATCTAAATATTATGCCTCAAGAATGAGGGTGCGAAACACAGTCATCCCAAAGTGTGTCTTTTATTATCCTAAGTTCGATATTTTCTCTGAAAAACCAGGAAGGAATTTCTTAGCTAATCTTTGGGAACTCCCACAGCGCAAGTTGTGCGCCTCATATCCTCTCTTTCGGTTTGCAGCCAAGGCTTGTTGGCTTCTGTGTGACGGGCTTGTTTCATCAGGTTTGCTTCTCTGTATCGGGGTTAGCAGACGAGGCGAGTCTCTGGCAGCTCTCTTACCTGATCCTCACTGGTAGGTAGCTCCCACGCTCGTGTCTGAGAGTCCATCTCTTGCAACCTCACCGGGAGTAAGCGGTGTCCCATTGTGAGTACTCCACCGTCCCGTACATGAGGGGGATTTCTGTTAACGCAAAGTGGGTCCAGCTTAACTGTCTTGTGGGAACACAATGGCACGTTTTGATAATGAGATCCAGTCACGAAAGTGTGCTTTCCATCTTGTCCAGATCTCTAGGTCCTCTGTAGAACTGGAAGCATAGGCGTCTCAGGTTCTTTGTTACTCTGAGGTAAAACCATCTAGAGTGATTCCCCCTTGCAGTTACATTACCGTTCTTATAACATCGTATGTTAATATGAATATATTTGCATAATATGCATACATATGTATATTACCAGGATTTTGTTTCCTCTGCTTGCTACCATGGCAGCATGCGACGTCATACTTTTCATTCTGTGATAGAACTACTTTCTGTTATCTAGAGATTAAGATTGAACCTAAAAATGTTTCTATTGTTCACTTTTGGAAACTCAAGAAACATCCTCACAGCCTTTTTTTTCTGTACTGACATTGTCTCATAAGCACATCCAGCTCCTCCTAGACTGACTAGGATTCTGCAGGAACACGACCAGTACACACCGCGATCACACAACGACCCATGACCGTTCCCGAGGCAAGGAGGGCAACCTGACACAAACACAGTCTCTTTTGGTTCCTTCTGACCCACAGCCTCATCAGTATTTGGACTTTTTAAAGCTCGTAGAAACAAGACAAGGTGCACCGGTTTCATAGACGCAACCTTAACTTACTATTTAGATGAGCTCTTTCTAAAGACAAACAAAGATGATATATTTTTTGTAAACTCTTTCTATCACGGGCATCCATAAACTGACTGCAGTCGTGTGAGCAGGTGTCACAGCGAAGCATTGGGAAGACAGGATAAAAAGCAAAACCTGCAGTGAAGAACTGCTAAATTAATAACCCCCACACCCACGCATGCGTCACCCTCACGTTTACCACCCTCCCCAAGATGTGTGCCGTGTGGACTGCCTCCATGAACTGACACACTTGATTTTTCGGTGGCCATAGCAATCCTTTATATGTGGGAGTCTGACTTTTCCAAACCCAAGCTTAGGTCAAAGCTAATCCACAGAATCTTATGTTAGGGACAGTGACTGAATTTGATGCCCTTATCCGCCTCCATTCTTGTCTACTAAGTCTTCTTTCAATCACCGCTCCTTGGCTATCTTTTCTCCCTGGAGATGAGCCCGTGAATTTGGGCTTTTCTCTGGAAATCTTCTTTTTCATGGGTAACAGTAGGAGGAGACAAAGAGTTAAACAGATTCGAAAAAAAAAATTCTGTAAGTGGCCTTATCGTTGTAACATATTAAAGAAAAGCAAATGTTTGCGAGACCTTATCCCTTTCAATACTTCAGGTATCTCTCTGTGTACCCTGTCACTCAAGGTGTGAGCCACATGTCGAAGAGGGACCCCCAAAGGCCAGCCATGTGGAAGAAGGGGTCAGCCACTGAGAGTTTATCATACTAAGAACTGTGACTTTTTTTTTTTTCTGGGAGAAAAGTAACTCAAAATTTTTTGATGCATAGTTGAGATACCCACATTATCAGAGACAGAAACTCCACGGGGCTCAGAAGAACCGCAACACGCTCCCTGGGAATCTCTGGATATAAATTTGCATGGTGTAGTCATAACAGCTTTTGAGCTTTTTATATGCATTTGGCACCAAGACTGGGATCCACAAATTTATAGACACTGCAATGAAGTTACCATAGTAGCTAGACTCTAAGTAGTGTTTGTAATTACACACACACACACACACACAAACACACACGTATTCTGTAAAAAAAAAAAACAAAAAAAACAAAAAAAAACTCATTTTTAAGATTCTTGGGTATGTGTTTGCTTTACTCCATTTCAGAAGAAAAGCATTTTCGTCCTAATAAGTTATTTTATGGCTTCTCTATTTTTCAAAGCTGCGAGAAGCGTTGAGGTGAGAACTCTGGCTATTCTAACAGAAGAGTAGGATCTGATCCCTGTTCCAGTAAGGTAGCCTCTCTTCACTTTATAGTAGCTGCTTGAGCCAGTGGGCGAGCACATGCCAGGATTCCACCAGGACCTGTGATGGAGGTGGCTGTTACCCATGCCCAGAGTTCTTAAGAATAGAAAATTTCATTTCCCATCAACTCAACAAACACTAATTTTCTCAGTAGTACTGTCTTTCTAAGATGAGATGCTTCGCCAAGGGCTCGCGGTGTTGACACCTTGATGATAGCCCCTGATTTGGCCATTTTCAGATGTGTCTATGACAACCCAAGAGCCCTCCTCCATCAGTCCCAGCCAAGAAAGGCTGACCAGAGTGGAATCATCTTTAAAACAAAAGTCACTCCTGATTACCAACCCCAGAACTGTTGAGAGGTTGTGATGCCAATGCCATAATCCATTCAATGCCCCTGAATCTCAGAAGAACTAGAAAGCATGTCATAATAATATTCCCACGAGGCTTTAAGCAACATGTCCATCTGCAGTATTGTGCGTTTGGATGCCAACATGGGGACATCTTCAGCTGTTCCCACCAAAATCTCCTCTCTTGTTTTGAAACATGGAGTTGACAGTGTCATCAATGAGATGATCTCGAAGGAGACCGGCACGTGGCAGTTGTAGGTGTTTGCCCCTTGTGAACACATTTTGAAAAGATGTGTTCAATTTTGAACCTCCTTGCTTAAAAGCATAAACCTACTATAATTTATATTTTAACCCTCCACCTGAAACTGAGTTCATATTTCTGGCCATTTTCTGTAAACCAACTGAACCACTGGTAAAATATTTGATTACTCTTGGAACGAGCACTGGCTCTCCCGTCAGTGCAAACTTTCCAGCAGAGTAACGTCGTCTCTGGGGGCGAAGACCTGCCCTGGTGGAGTGGATTTCCCAGGACACTGGCGAGCGTGCCTTGGCCTGATTACCTCTTCTCCTGCGTTGAAAGGTGCCGTGTTTTCCTGAATGACTAAACCCCTCACCTTGGGACAGTGACCTCCCAGAGTGGCTCACACACATGTCCCACTTGGTGGTACCTCTCCTAGGGATGGCCCACACATGTCATTCGTGACTCCTTTTTCTACTTCCCAAGTCAGTAGATGTGTTCAAGGTAAGTACAGGATTGTTCTGGTAGGAATAGGCGGTTGCTGTCCTGATTGATATCCATGTCGATTTCATTTCATTGTAAAGATAAACTTAAACCCGATTTTGCTTAAGCACATTGATGTAATTTTTTCGTATTATTTGACGTGAAAAAAAAACAGCAAAATTGAGTGACAGATACAATATGAAACTTGTTGAATGAATTCAAATTTATTAAAAAAGGACTAACTGACAAACATGAGGCCTGTTTTTGTTTTTCTCTTCCCTAACTCTCTGCTGTTGAATGGTGTGGTGTTATTTCAATCCAACCTTGTTTAATTGCATATGTCCACCTGGGTTATGTGAAAATAAAAAGATTTTACAGCCCCAAACTGACTGCCTAAGATAATGGTAGAACTGTTTCTTTGAAAACAAAATATCACAATTTATGTGTTTTTTTTTTATGTGAGGATCGAAGTTTGGTGTGGGATGTCCTTCTGTCTATTTGTTGCTTTTATTGGTTAATGAATAAAGAAACTGATAGAGTAGAGTAGAGCTAGGTGGGAAAGACTAAACTGAATGCTGGGAAAAAGAAGGTGGAGTCAGGGAAAAGATGCCATGTAGCCCTGCCAGAGACAGACCGGTAAGCTACAGCCACATTCAATACACAGATTAATAGTGGTGGGCTAAATTACAATATAAGAGTTAGCCAGAAATACACTTAAGCGATTGGCCAAACAGTACTGCAAATAATATAGTTTCTGCGTGATTATTTCGGGGCTGAGCAGCCAGGAACAAAACAAGTGGCCTCTTACTACATAAGTTCAGTGCTTAATATTGAAAAAATTGATCACAATTTTCCTTCAAATTTAAACTTCAAAGGATAAACAGCGACACAAAGAATGACCTATTCGAGTCTTCAAATTAGTGTTTTAAGACACACGCATTTTTTTGTGACGAAAGCCAGGGAACAAGCTCTCCATCTCTGGATAGCCACCCTTGGAGATTTTTCAGCAATTTCCCTGGCCGTGTTTCTACGGTGAAAGTGAGATGTTATCACAGAGTGAACAAGTGAGTGAGCAAATGAAAGATTTAGATTATAGACACGTCCATGCTGACAAGTTTGTGAGAGCCCCATCTCCTTCCTTGGGTCCTAGGGATTCTCATGACGCTCTTAACCCGATGCTGCTGACCAACTGGTCTACATTCACGCACAGCCACTTGCTGTGTAGTCAGGGGTGATACAAGCACCATTTGCAAACCTCATTCTGATATGTAAACGAGTTTTGTATTTCCAGTCTTCTCTGGAGTCTTGACTTGGTCATGCCTTAAACTAAGCTGTTGTCTGTGATGAGTACATCTCTGGGAAAATTTCTCTCTTGGTCACTCGGCCAGTCCTGGTGACATGCTTTAAAGAGGACTAACCGCTTCTGAGCACCTGCTTTGGTCACCAGGGGGTCCACAGGCTTCGGGGAGCTGCCCCATCCACGGCTGACACAGCCTGCATACACATGGGGCTGCTTTACAATTCTTCCTTAGAATCTCTTACTTTGCAAAGCATGGGGTTTATCACTGATCTTTGCAGTGGGGATGCCCTTTGAGAAGATGGACTCTTTAAGAGCCTCCATGGTTTTAAGGTAGAGACTTGTACTGGGGAGCTAAAACAGAAGCTATTATCGATTATTGAGATAGTTCTACTATTGGAGAGACTCGCTCCATGCCCCTTGGTTTTAGATAAGCAGGTTCAACTCAGATGCAGCAGGCAGCAGCACAGAGAACATAAATGCTAAAAATGCAACCAATCGCAGTTGGGGAGACACAAGGGGGCATGCATGCACTTAACCTTGACTCCAGTCTCCGCTGTTCTTAAGAAACAAAGTAAAATTAAGTAAGCCACGTAAGCAATGCCTTGGCATGGGAGAACAGGGTACGTCTGGTGGCCCTGCACGTCTCGAAGCAGATTAATGGCCCTGACCTACCAGGCAATTAGAAACTATCTCTAAGAAGTTAAATCTCTTCGTCTTGTTACACTGAGGTTAGGTATTGATGACCTTTTGCCTCCTATGTTTAATTAATTTGTTGTCATTTTGTTTGCAAATTTAAAAAACGTAGTCATTTATACAGTACAGTGTTACCATGTATACAGAGTGCATTCACCTCGTTTTTTTCCTCTGTGACTAGGGCTGCCCTGTTCCTCTCTGGTTCTATTTCCTAAAGCATGTGACAGGCTATTGAGAACCACAGTTCCCTGCTGTGCTGCTGGGTGTTCATGCTTACGCTGGTTGGCTAGCCCTTTGCTTCCTTTGATTCTTCCCAGCCTCCCGTAATCACTATTCTTCTCTTCTGCTCTGAGATCAACTTTTCTAGCTTCCACGTGTGTGTGTGTGTGTGTGTGTGTGTGTGTGTGTGTGTGTGTCTGAGAGAGAGAGAGAGAGAGAGAGAGAGAGAGAGAGAGAGAGAGAGAGAAAGAGAACAGACAATGTTTGTTCTTCTATGTCTGGTTGATGTCATTCAACACATCCCAGCTCCAAATCCATTTTGCTGCAAAAGCTAGGCCATCACTCTTTCTGGCTAAGTAATGATAGTGTGTGGATAGGTCACATTTTATCCATCCATCTGTTGATCCTAGGATGGTTCACTGTCTTGGCTTCTAGGTGCAGAAATAGAGGAAGTTGTTTTTAGATAAAAGCACTAAGACTCCCATCCTTAAGTGGGTTTCTCTTTCTCCTTTTCTGCCCCCAACCTTCTGCTGGCCATATCTTTAATTTGATGTTACCAAAGTCGAAAATGTTTACACTCTGCCAGCTGTCACAAAACGTGGATGCTTAGCACTGGGTGTACAAATTTCTCTTGAGTTAATGAATACTCACGTGTTGAAACTGTGCTTTGTGGGAGAAGTTAAAAACTTAATAATCCCTTTTACTTAAGCAGTATGTAAAACATCATCACTGGAAGAAAAGGAAAGAGAATTGCTTTAACCATCGCCGACTTCTGCTTTGATTTTTTTTTTTCGAGACAGGGTTTCTCTGTGGCTTTGGAGCCTGTCCTGGAACTAGCTCTGTAGACCAGGCTGGTCTCGAACTCACAGAGATCCGCCTGCCTCTGCCTCCCGAGTTCTGGGATTAAAGGCGTGCGCCACCACCGCCCGGCCGACTTCTGCTTTGAAAGGGAGAGTAGTTGATAGCAGAAGACAAGCGGGCAGGCTCCAGGAGCTGCACTTCCCCGGCTCATCCCGGAGGGTCTTACTCAGAAATTAATTCTAAGAGTTGAAAACAAAATTACCAACAGAGAGATTTCAACATTACACAAATCTAATTCAAAACTTGCATATCTTAAGCTCAAATAAGAGGAAAACAGAGCTCACTAGGGTCCAGGCCGAAAGGGATGCTTTTGCAAACACTCTCCCAATTGATTAAAGCTACACAGCCTCAGTTCTGAAGGCTGAATGCTTCCCATCACGTATAGGAACTGGGCCTGGGATCTCTGGTTTCTAGCTAATTTTCTCCCTTTCTCCTTTGCTTCCCTTCATGCCCCCTGTCTTTCTCTTCCCCTTTGTTACTTTGAGACAATCCTTATCAATCTCAGGCTGGCATGGAATTCACTATGTAGTACACCCTGGCCTTAATTTCATTGGCATGAACATTGATGCTCACTGTGCATCGTATTTTTTTCTCAGTGAAGAAAGACATAAATATGTATCCGTCTAGATTAATAATGTTATCTCTATCTATCTATCTATCTATCTATCTATCTATCTATCTATCTATCATCTATGCATGCATCAGGATTTCTCTGTGT